CCAGGATTGCTAAATCTATAGAGACAGCCACTGGATGAATGGTTCCTTGGAGATATGGAAGGGGGTAGAGGAACAAATGATGAGTGCAAGAAGAAGAAAATGTCCTAAAACTGACCATGGTGATTATTGTACACATCTTCTTTATGTGATCGAACTGTTGAATCACATAATATGTGAATTATAGGCCAATAAAACTGTTAGGGAAAAAGAATTACAGTCTTTTTTAAAAATAATTTTATTGGGGGCTCATACAACTCTCATCACAATCCATACATGCATCCATTGTGTCAAGCACACTTGCACATTCTCTGCCCTCATCATTCTCAAAACATTTTCTTTCTATTTAAGCCCTTGGTGTCAGCTCTTCATTTTTCCCCCTCCCTCTGGAACCCTTGGTAATTTATAAATTGTTATTATGTTTCCATGTCTTACACTGCCCAAGGTCTCCATTCACCCACTTCTCTATTGTCCATCCCCCAGAGAGGGGATTACATGTAGATCATTGTGATCAGCTTCCCCTTTCTCCCCCACCTTCCCCTTAACCTCCTGGTATCACTGCTCTCATTATTGGTCCTAAAGAGTTTATCTGTCCTGGATTCCCTGTGTTTCCAGCTCTGATCTGTACCAGTGTACATCCTCTGGTCTAGCCGGATTTGTAAGGTAGAATTGAGATCATGACCGGTGGGGGAGGGGATGGGGGGGAGGAAGCATTAAAGAAGTAGAGGAAAGTTGTATGGCTTTTTAACAAACAAAAGGCTATTTTCTCACAGTTTGGAGGGCTGAAAGTCTGAATTCAAGGGCGAGCTCCCAGGGGAGGCTTCCTCTCCCGTTCAGCTCTGGGGAAAGCTCGGTCTCTTCAGGGTCTGCTCCCTGGTTCCTTGCAGATCTTCCAGTGTCTTGACATCTGTCCTACCCCATCTCTCTTATGCATTTACTTATTTAATCTCTTTTCTATTACAAATGGATTCAGATATCCCCCTACTGTAATTCTGCCTTGTTAGCATAACAAAGGCCACCCATTCCTAAATGGAATTATAACCTCCTGAGGTAAAGAGATTAGGATTTCCAACACCTTGTTTGGGGGGTCACAATAATAAGAACCAAATTCAAAAAGGGGCCTGGGATCCTGCCACCAGCTTCAATGCAAGAGACCATCATAAAAGTAAAAGTAGAAAACTGGTTTTGTGTAGCGGGAGTGGGGGTGGGGGGTGTATTTTAAACAATGGCCTAGCTGCTTCTAATTTAAGACAGCTGTTTTAAAATTAAATTGAGGTTGTGCTTTCCTTGTGAAGAAACAAAACTTCCCTTCCTTTGAGGCTCAACTCAAAGCAAACCTTTTCAATAAGATTTCTGACAGTCCTTCAGCATATCGGTCTTTCCTTCTTTAAACAAATATGAGGGGTCTTCAAAACGTTTGTGGAATATCTGAATTAAAAATAATGAAATTTTTCCACAAACTTTACAAAACCACTCATATACATTATAGTGGAAAGAGCTCTGGACCTGAGTTTAAAACTCTAACGATTTCCAGGTTCATCAACTATGTGTCCTTAGGCAAATTTCTTATGTTTTTAATCTGGTTCGTTGCTCCCTGGAAATTAATAGCTCTCAATCCCATAGGACAGCTGGGAAAATTGAGCTGAATTCTAAATGCGTCTGCATGCTAAACGCAAAGCATATGCTCTAATGATTAAAGTGCAATTTCTAATTCATTCATTCATTCATTAAACATTGGCTTGGTGCCAAGAGTATGTCAGGCTGCATGCAAGGTACTAGAAGAAAGGAAACAACATGATACCACATAGCTGTCATCTATGAATAATTCTTCATGTGAATAAGCCTCCCAACTCAAATAAAGTTAGATCATCATGCTTGTCTGTTTGCATACTTCCAAACAGCATGTATTATGCTGAGCAAATATGCTACAAAAGACCTCTTTAAAATGTCAAAGAGCAAGGATGCTGCTTTGAGGACTACGGGACACCTGACTGACGCCATGGTATTTCCATTGGCCTCCTATGCTTGTGAAAGCGGGACAGTGAACAAGGAAGACGGCAAAGGAATGGATGCATTTCGATTGTCCTGATGATGCATTTGAATTGAGGGTGCCATGGACTTCCCGAAGAACAAGCATCTGTGTTGGAAGAAGGACAGCCAGAATGCTGCTTAGGAGCGAGGATTCATCTCATTCATGTACTTTGGACATGTTATCAAGCAAAGCCAATCCCTGGAAAAGGACATCGTGCTTGCTAAAGCCGAAGATTGCAGACAAAGAGGAAAACCGTCAAGGAGATGAACTGACACCGTAGCTACACCAATGGTTTTGAACAAAATACCAGTTGGGACGAAGACGTAGGCTGGGGTACTGTTTTGTTGGGTTATACGTGGGGTCAGATATGTTGGAACCGTCTGACGGCACCTGGCAACACGACCACCACCATCTGGCACAGTACCTTGACTCTGATAGTTTCAAAAATACTAGTGGATTACAGGGAAATTCACAGCCTTTGGGTAGACGCCAAGCCACAGGGACCCTACAGGACAGGGTAGAACTGCCCTGTGAGTTTCAGAGACTGTAGTTGTTTACGGGAGTAGAAAGACGCATCTTTCTCCCATAAAGCAGCTGGTGGTTTCGAACTGCTAACCTTTATGGTTAGCAGTCTAATTCTTAACTACTAGGCCATGAGTGCTCCCTGGTGGACTACAAAATCGCCAGATGTCTACATACATGTCTGAACTCTTGATCACAAAGCCTCGCCTTATGGCACCCTTCCCTTATGGCAGGGCTATCAGAAGACTCACCTGACAGCTTACATCCATCCCTGCTTCCAACAGCACCTGCACGACTGCTTTGTGCCCGTTGCGTGCAGCAAGGTGCAGAGGTGTGTGCTTGCGAGTGTTGCAGCTCATGAGGTTGGGGTGTGCACTGATGATCATCTTGACCACTCTAAGCCGCCCATAGAGCGCTGCCAGGTCCAAAGGCGTTTCTAGCTTGCTGTTCCTGATCGTGGGGTCCGTGAGCTCTTCCAGAAGCACAGCAACCACTTCTGCGTGTCCATATTGAGCTGCACAGTGAAGAGCAGTCTCGTTCTCATTGTTCTGTTTGAGAAGAAGATTCAAAATTTAAGCAAATTTTCAGAAATGTGCTTAGTTATCACAACCTACAGACAACAAGGTAAAGCCTGTGAGACTTTGGAAAATCTCCATTTATCCATTTTAGTGAGTTATGCTTCGTTGTTTGTACACTTGATCAAAGTATCACTCATGTCTTGCAGCAACCAAGAACACCGAACTCACCACCATCAAATCTATTCTAACACACAGGTGGCATAATGCCTTATGTGTTGGACTACTAACCGCAAGGTCAGCAGTTCGAAACCACCAGCCGATTCATGGGGGAAAGATGAAGTTTCCTGCTTCCATAAAGATCTGCCGTCTCAGAAACCTACGGGGGTCAATCCTACTCTGTCCTATGGGCTGGCTATGAGCCTTGCATCAAAGACATGTCATTTTACTAAGTTTTCCTACATTATAAATTCCAATTTCCAAGAGTAATAAATGATTCAGCTGACTTAGCCGGTGTTCCTGCTGAGACCAGATGGTCAGTCCTGCCTGCACCAGGTGCCACACCTCTCTGACATTTGTTGATGAGGGAGATGAATAAAGATTATAATTCACTATCGCAGACTGACTTTTCAAAAGGCAGGTGAAATGACAAGCTGGTGATAACAAGTTCACAAATTAAGTTTCATTCTATTTTCCATAGAAACACAAAGTATTGCCTCTTTCTGCAGAGAGAGGACATGCCGTAACAAAGAGTCAACAGCTTCTCTCTGAAGCATCATGATGAGTTGAGAGGCAGCCCTCGACAAGCAACCAGGAGCCTCACAGCCTCACAGGGTGAGGGAATCTTCTGTGGGTTTCTGTTGTAAATTAAGGAGCTTTCCCCAGCAATATTCCAGGTTCAAATAGTTAGGATAGAGCACACTGAAAGCCAGATGCTAAGATCATTTGGGCAGAAGGGTAGATAAGTAGGTGGGATGTGAGCATGTCAGGAGGAATAATTCAGGAGAAATGTGAACAAGATAAAATGTTAGCAACAAAAGTGCACTGATGCTGCCTGCAGGGTCTGGAGACAGAGGGTCAATGTCACCCCAGGGAGTCCTCGTGTGTGGTGGGTTACACACTGGGCTGCTAACTACAAGATCAGCAATTTGAATGTCCCAGTTGATCCAACAGAGAAAGGTTAGGTATTTTGATCCCGTAAAAATGTACAGCCTCAGAAACCTTAGGGAGCAGGTATACTCGATCAACTTGTTGGCGATGGGTTTGGTTTAGGATATTGTCATCAAAAGTAACACATCACTATGTATCAGACAGAGTTGCATTTCGCTCATTCAATTCTCACAACACTCTCAAGTAATTTTACAGATGGGAGAATTGAGACTCTGAATAGTTGGAAAGCTTGGTTTTTATTCATAATATACATTCATTACTAGCATATAGTGGTAGAGTCAGGATTTGAACCTGGTGAGTTTAGGCCCCAGGTCAGTACTCTACATCATCATGCATACTGCCATCCTCAATAACAACAGTTACTATGATGACTTAGTGTCCAAACGCTTCACAAACAACGCCCCGGTTATCTTTTACAATGATCCTAACAAGGTTGGGACTGTTATCTCCGTTTCATGGATGAGAAAGCAAAAATAAATAAGGCTAAATGACATATCCAAGTAGAGGCAAGCTCTTTTGGAAAACTGTCAAGATCCAAAACCCTCTCACGCTCTTTCCACCCTACCACACTGCCTCCCCGCGTTGCTAGATAGTCACAGACTGAGATCAGGAAATTAGTGGTCTGAAAATAGAATTTCGAGAGGCTGTGGCTAGAAGTGGGAAAATGACAGAGCTTTCTATTCCCGTAAAGAGTTACAGTCTCAGAAACCCCCAGGGGCAGTTCTACCCTGCCCCATAGGGTGGCTATGAGTTGGCATCGACTTAATGGCAGCGAGTTCAGTTTCGATGGCTTGGGAATCCAGAAGATCACCACCGAATCTGGACTGGGAAGTGGCTATTTAGATAGCTATTCAGTTCGAGCACAAGAAAGGGTCAACAAACCCAGTAAATTTTAATCTTACAACCTGGCTCTGGTTGATAGAAGAACTCTATAAATAGGTCTGAAGTCTAGAGGGACAATCTGAAACTAAGAAAGAAGAATGGTAAGGGAAAGGGGGAGGAGAGGGGGGGAAGCACTGAGAAAGCCTTCTCATTATGCTAAAACCTGCAAAAGGCAGAAGCTGCGTAAGGAGGAAACAGGTCAGGGAAGGGAACCTCAGAGGCAGTGAAACTGTGAGAGCCGGAACTCACCAGGACTGCCTTCTCGTGCCTTTGCCTGGATGTAGTCAGCACTTTTATCGTTCTCTAGTCGTAGAAAATATTTGCATTTTACTTCTTTGACAGGTTTCCTCCTTACACAGGTTCTGGCTGTCTCCAGTTATACTGTATTTCCCACGAAAACCAGCAACAGAGAAGTGGTAAGGCTGCCCCCTGACTAGGGTGGAAAACTTGAGGAACTCAGAAAAGCAAGGCAATCCCAGTGAGTTTAGACTCTCATGAGTTCATGGTTCTTCTTAAGTGAGGATCAGGCAAGGGCATTTGAAGGTCAGCTCCAGGGGAGAATCCTTGCAGAAGGTCAATGAAAAGTGAAGAGCTGACTCCCTACCTGGAGGCATCATTGCTTTCATCTGTCTGGGGAGCCATCCCTATGCCTTGTTTGAACGGCTACCACTTGCTATTGCTTCATAGAGGCTTAGACTCCCTCTTATCCAGGTACATTTTATAAAGCTGACGGGGGGGAAAATCAGGCTTAAAGTTTGTAACCTTAAATTATAATAGAGAAATATGCCTCCTGACCAAAGCAAATTTCTCCTTAGTTCAAAGGCAATTCAATCTTTTTTTTTTCTTTTTTTAATATAGCATCTCTTGGAGAGAAGAGAAAGACCAATTACAAAATAATGATTCCTCAACGGCCTTTCCAGTTCTTACAGAGCATTTCGTTTCAGAAATTATAAGAACAAATTTGAAGCTCTTTCCCCCTTTTTAATAATACTAATTAGCACTGTTCAGATTTCAAGAGAAATGACTTCAATCATTCAAGACCTACTCAGGAGAATATGTTCACAGATTTTATCTATGATAAAAACATACTTAGAGTATCACATCAGCACAGGATACAATTGTGGCACCTTTACAAGCAAATGTCTGGATACTTTTAAGGGTCTAAGGCACAAAAACCCCCTAATTTGAAATAAATTGGAGGTGATGTAACTCTAGTTAATAATTGCTAGTCAGTCTACCAAGAACATCATTTAAAGGTCTTAGTTTATTTTTGCTTGTTTTATTCTCTGAAAAATTAAGACACTCCAGATGTGGTAGAAGTAAATTGACTGAAAACACTGTTTACCAAAAGATCACTCTTCAAAGCCAAGCTCACAGCAACTATATATTACTCGCATACTCACTGCTACTGTGTGGATTCCTATAAGACACAAATAGAACTGCTCTTGTGGGTTTCTGAGACTATCACTTCTCTGCTGTGGAGTGGCTGGTGGTTTTGAACCACTGAACTTGTGGTAAGCATCCCCATGCATAGTCCACTAGGTTACCAGGGCTCCTTATCTACCACTAAGTTGGGTTCTAGTTTTGGTCAATAGCAAAAGGAATATATTCATAAGATATGGCTTCTCACAAAGGAGGTCCATAAGCAAATGTGGTGAAGAAAGCTGATGGTGTTTGGCTATCAAAAGATATAGCATCTGGGGTCTTAAAGGGCTTGAACATAAACAAGCGGCCATCTAGCTGAGAAGCAACAAA